ATCCTTCCCTCCTTCCTTCATTCCTTCTTTCTATCCATCCTTCCCTCCTTCCTTCATTCCTTCTTTCTATCCATCCTTCCCTCCTTCCCTCCTTCCTTCATTCCTTTATTCTATCTGTCCTTCCCTCCTTTCATTCCTTCTTTCTATTCATCCTTCCCTCCTTCCTTCATTCCTTTATTCTATCTGTCCTTCCCTCCTTCTTTCATTCCTTCTTTCTATCCATCCTTCCCTCCTTCCTTCATTCCTTTATTCTATCTGTTCTTCCCTCCTTCTTTCATTCCTTCTTTCTGTTCATCCTTCCCTCCTTCTTTATTCCTTCTATCTGTCCTTCCCTCCTTCCTTTATTCCTTCATTCCTTTGTTCTATCTATCCTTCCATCATTCCTTCTTTCTATCTGTCCTTCCTCCTTCCTTTATTCCTTCATTCCATCATTCCTTCTTTCTATCCATCCTTTCCTACTTCCTTCATTCCTTCTTTCTATCTGTCCTTCCATCCTTCCTTCCTCAGGGACCATGAAGCCTGGAGTCGATCCCACCTTGGGCAAGTTATCAGTCCTCCTTGGCTTGATGAGAAACATCCAGGACATCATAATGGGGGGAAAATTATGTATTTTCCAGGCACATACTTTAATTCAGTACCACAATCAAGTAACTATGTTACTTTTAGTTTCAGAAAATGCTGTATATATCAAAAATAAATTTGATTTTGCATCTAACCACCTTGAAATTGACCCCTGTCTCTTTAAGAACCTCATTCTGTTTCCCACACTCCTACTTCAGCATGTTTTCAAACAATGCTTCGGGGGAGGGGTGCTCTGTGGGGCAGGAGCTCTGCTGCAGATTGAGCTGCAGGGAGGAGCTTTGTACAAATAGGTGGAGCTATGTACCAGCAAGTGTTCAGGCAGCTCCAAAAAGCTGCTGCAGGAAATTCAAGGATTTCTCAAACATGCATGAATGAGTCAAAGCAACATTCTGGGTATGTTTTTGATGAGGGAATGACATTATAATGATATAAAGCTCAAAAATTTGATTTTGCATAACACTTCCCCTTTAACCCACATGTTTACTTACAGGCCAAGTGACTGTAATGAATCCTTGACTTTGGCGCTTCAGATGTTCGAAGGCTGGTGGAGAAAAACAGGCAGGCTGGAAAGTTTGGGTCAACACGAGTATCTTCAAGGTGAGGAAAATAAAAGCACTTATTTTGTCATTCATATCTTAAACTATTTTAGCACCATCCTATTCAAGTGACTCTTAAGTGAACATTGTTTTGTTTAAATTTTCTTAGTGGTAAAGTAAAAAACTGTGTTGAAGAGGTAATCGATAAATGACTGGGACATAATGTTATACATGATTCATGTAGTAAATGCCATATTGTGACCCATACACTGTCATTTGCTCTTTTCTTGTTTCAATTCTTTCTTGTAATTACAGTAAACATTTTAGATTCCTGCACATCGCTTTCCTTGCATACCTTCCTGAACGGTATTTGCAGTAATCGCTGGCTGACATTTGCAAACAGTACTGTTGTTTTCATTAAGTTTATCTCATCATTAAAATGTCTGCAGTGATTTTAACATAGCATACAAATCTCATATAAATTAGACATGTAGTTTCACATACAGTTCCACCAGTATTTTTTTCCCCTGGGAAAAGTCATTGTAAAAAAAAAGTTCTTAAACAACATGCAGCAAAGTTAATTATTCAAGTGCAAAGTGTTCATGTGCATGGGATTATAAAGAAATGTAACCCACTTTGATAAAGGTCACTCGTCTAGAAAACACACACACACACACACACACACACACACACACACACACACACACACAC